TCGAAAAAAATTTATATAATTTTTCGCAAAATTATCGAATTTTTCATTATGTGAAATTTTATTGCGTAAAAACTTTTTTAAAATTGATGATCGAATAAAGATTAAAAAAAAATTTATACGAATCAAGCACATTACAGTATAACAATTATTTTTTCTCTTTTGTCTTTTTTCAGTATACTTTTAGTTTCGAATTAAAAAACATTTTAGAAAAAGTAAGTTTTTACACAATAAGATTTCATATAATAAAAAATTCGATATCTTTGCGAAAAATTATCGTACAAATTTTTTTCGAAAAACATTTTAAAGCTTAGGAAGCCTACTTTCAGATACTTTCATATTAAATTTTAGTTGTTGGTGTTTTTTCATTGAACTTGTAGCGCTTTAAAGTAAGACAAAAATATTGCAAAGATATCATTTTTCAATTTTATGTAACTTAGGAACAAAACATCGTAGACAAAAAATTCAAACGCAGATTTAAAGCCCTATCTTTAGACTTTAAAATACATAAAAAATCTCTGAGATTTTTTTCATCGTATTTAATTTTTCGTAAAATGCGAGAAAATTATAAGTGCCTAATACTTTTATACATGTGTATTGGAAATGGCCGTATATTGGAAATATATTGTACGTTTAATTTTTATTTTGTTATATTGTTATTTTAATTTATATATTTATATGTATATATTAGTATATTGTACATCTTACTTAATCTTTACTAACTAATTTTCAGTCAAAACAAGTATTTTAATCGGCAATGAATAAGAAATTATAAGTGATCAAGGATAAATAAGTTATTCCATACATGTCTTACAGAACTTTCGCTTTACGTTTTCAAATTTTTTAGTCATTAAATTGTCAATACATTTTATATACTAGATAATATTGACAATAAAATGTCAAATTTAGAAAATTTCAAGATATGTAAAAGTAATTTCAAAGTTTTTAATATCGACTAAATTAAAGTAAAGAGTTTATTAGCGAGACACATTGTTATCTCATTTCTCAGATTCGGACAATCAGCATACATCAGCTGATTGAGAAAGGTTTAATATCCGGCGGCGCCACATCAACCAAAAATAATTAAAAGAAACGAAGGCTCTCTCTTGAGTGTCCCCCTGAGATTTTTTTTCCGTGTCTTTCTTTCAGGTATAAATGTCAATCTACCTATGGGTACATTATGAAATGTAAGTATTTTTATATAAAATTATTTGTAGAAGCGACATAAAATTTTATTCTATAGAGAGACAACATATACGGCGGTGGATTGCGGAGATGTGCAAAATATATGAAAGGTATTATCAATAAAATGTATTAAATAGAAAAATAGACTTTTTATTATGTGCTCTTCTCGACAATTTATAGATGTTGCTCTTGAATATCTTTTACATTCTAGTAACATATATGACAATTTCCTTTTTCTGATAAGATAATCTTGTAGCAATTTTAACAAATCTTAGGATGTGTAGAGTATCCATTAACAAGTGACATTCGGATTTATACTTACGATATTTTATAAAATTCAACAACCGTGACAAGTAAAAAAATATTAACAATGACCGCTATTAAAAATTACAAATCAAGAATAATATATTATTTCAGTTTAAAAACAAAATTTTTGAAACTTTAAAGCTGGCATTTCTGTCTCTTTCATTTAAAAAATATTTTCTCTCTTTTAATAATATAGAATCACTTTCACTTAATATTTTCATAAAACGGAATTACTTTTCGAATCTATTTAAACCTATTTAAAATGTTAAATTAGTAGATATATACATTACATAATTAATGGATTCGAAAAAAATACGACTGCTCGATGTTTAACATACATAGTATTGTATACAATGAATTATAAAAGATAAAACAGTAAAAGTCGCTAAACATTAGAAATGTTATGAAAGGACTTCTCGTATAATATTATAAAATATATATTTGATCATAATTATTATCAAATTATTATTTTTTGTATTTATAAGTATATGAAATATTGTAACGACTTGCAAATTTAGATAATTACTTAATTTAAAATTAAATTAATTATTTAATTAATTATTTAATTTTTTACATCATGACGGGATTCTCAGCATTTCATTTTTGCCTGTTCAGTTTTTAATTATTTGACGAATTTCTTGCCGTTAAACTCTGGTTTATTTGTTTTCCTAGAATCTGTAGAACATGAACAAGTGTAAAAAAAAAGTAGGCAACTATATACATTTTTGGTTGTGTAATTATTATAACTAAACAAATAGATCAAATTTATACTTCTTTCGAAAAAACATTTTTATTAAATTTTATTATCAATATTAAAACGGCAATTTAAGTACTTATTTAGAACATCTTAAAATATTTTTCAGAATTTTTTCAGATTTCAAAATAAATAAAATATCTTGTACATATACTGGTTTCCTAACATATGGGATCTACTTCGGCAGCGGATAGGGGACACTTTAATAATGACAAAAGTTTATACAAACATTGTAATTTATTTATATGAAATTGTTTCAGAATTACAGTCACTTTTGTTTTTCAGTAATACGTAGCTGGTTTATCTTCATGGATTTGAAAAAAAAAAAATGGTTAGCTTTGATCTACTTTTATAAGTAATGCTCGATATCTTCTTAATATTTCGCATATCGTTGATTTCAAAAATTTTGTTTATTATGTTTACTCAGTTATTTTAGTTCGTTCTTTTGCTAGGAATATTTAATTCAATTTGCTATGCGTTGAAAGTAATAATGAATAAGTATTCAACTCAGGAAATGGCAGACATACATTTGATGTATGAATTTGCCAAACATAATTGAAAACGTCCCGTCTGATTACGGGTTTTGACTACGGGTCTCTTTCACTAATCTGTTAAGTTAACCGACGGTTACATGAGATTCATTTGAGACCCAGTTTCACAACTCGTAGTTAAGTTTTAACTAAGGTTTAACTTATTTTAAATAATAATGAATTGTGAAATTGGGTCTAGAGTTCCACTCACGATTAAGTCTTAACCGAGGTTCAACTTATTCATTGTCTTTTTCCAATTCAAGAATATAATAAGATAAGAAACAAATTAAACTTTTGTTAAGAGAGTTAACCGTGAATTGTAGGACTGGACTTGAAATGAGCCCCATGTAAAACCGTCGGTTAATCTAACCGAAGTTGATGAAATAGACTCTACGTTATGATTAACCGTAATCATTTACAGCGACCGATGTCTAGGGATTTTTCACTGTTCAAGCACTGTGAGTGGCTAGTGGTCAAACGGGTGCCAGTCAATGTAATTCAGCCGAAGTAAGATGTCTATCTACACAAATTGTTTCCCGAATAGACATTTATCAAATAAAACATTTCAATGATTATATCATAAAGAATAGAGTACAGAAGACTGAACTGGACTTTCAGAAAATGTGACTAAAACTAAATTTTCGAATTAGTATTGGTGGTGCTCAGTAGGCAACGTTCGAATCGCAAAACGCATACACCGTACGTAAACGTTTTACGCAAAACTCATACGCTTATGCACATACAACCGAACACACAAAACCAAAGAATAGAAACGTTATTCTTTAACATCATGCTTTGATCAGTTCTGAAGAATCACTCACCCGCAGCAGACGCGTCTCGGCTCGGATGTCTTTTTCTTGTATATTTTTGAAAGTGTTGCTGACTTTGACTGATTGAAATTACAGCCGTCGCACAGTTTTGGACAATCCGTTCGTCCTGACGCGCACCCGTGTGACGTGACGATGTTAACGCAGACGCCCGGTGTCCGGCGGCGGGCTTCGCCATTTTCATAGGCATTACATTATTTTTAGTTTTTGTATCTCGTAAGAAATGGTCTGTCCGTATCGACCTCCGTTTACTATTTCGGGAGGCGTGAGCCATTAATTAAAGAAGAAGAAGATTATACTTTGATAATAAACATAATGGATACTTTCCATTTGATGACATAAGTCG